CGTGCAAAGCTCTCCGACGTGGTCTTGGCAGAGGGGGGTTTTCGTCTGGTTGCACGTGTGACGGTGGTTTTCCTCCCCCGTTTTTTGCAAAATGGACACAAACCGAGGAAGAACGTTGCTGGTGCCAGGCCCAGGCCAGTGGCTGCTGAGGTCAGTGGCAGTCTCTGTCCCTGCCCCCGGGTGGCTTGGAGCCTGGCCTGAAAATACCGAGGGATGCAGCAAAACAAGTAATTTCGTATCAAAGTGCTATCATGTGCTCACAGAAATAGAAGGAAAATAGAGATGTTTCCTCCCCCACCCCTTGCAATCCTTTGGAATTACAGTGCTCGGAGCTGTCGCTCGGAAAGCCTGACTTCACCAGGCACTTGGGAGCTCTTGGATCCAGATGCCATGGAGGGCCCTGCCTGCAGGCCTGAGCCCCTTGAGGGTCAGGAATGTCCAGCAGGGTTTATCTCCTGGTGGGATTCACTGCAGAAGGGAAGGCAAGGCCTAAGACTACACTGGCTATCCAGGCTCCCTCTGGTTGCTAGGAAAGGACAAGTCCCCTCTTCCCAGTGTCTCCCAAGCCCTCAAATCAGCAGATTCTGAGCCAGTTTCTGTAAGAGAAAGGAAGTTCTTGTCTCAGGTCTCACAGCAGGAATCATGTCCAGCAATGTCCCCTCTGCCTGTGTCACTACTCCACAGGTCAGGAGCTGCCTCCGAGTCCCTGCTCCCCGGAGGGACCTCGCAGAAGGGAAGGATGAAGGCAGGGTCTGAGCCTGGGAAAGGAGCTGGAGGTGGGGAAAGGAAGGAGAGACTGTAAGTGGCGATGGACCCTTGTGGGGCTGGGAGGGAAGGAGGTTTCTGTGCACTCTTCGTTGAGCAAAAGGCACAACAGGAATTTGGACAGCCCGAGAGCACGATGGGATGCTGCCAAAGGCTGACAGTGGGATGATCTGTGGGCATGGGAGGGGCCAGGCACAGCTGGAGGCTGGTGGAGGGACCACACCAAGCACATGGAGCTGCTGGACACTGCACTGGGAAGGTGTCAGGGTGGGCTCTGGGCTTGCTTTATTCTCTGATGTCCTCCAGCTAGGGCTGGAAAGCTCCCTCAGGCCCTGCTTCCCTCCTCCCCTCTGACGGATGAGTCGTTCCACCACCCCTGGTGCCGCACTTCCCCTCCTATGGGGAGGGACAGCAACCTGTGGGGATTCCCATAGGAAAGGGGCTGCGGAAGGGCCTTGTTATCCTGACCTGGAACAATGCAGGCCGTCCCTCGGACCCGGAGGCGGCGGCGTCCCCTTCCTCCTGCCCCCGGCCGCCGAGGAGCGCAGGGCTGCCTTGTAAACAAGTTGTCTTGCTCTGTTCCGGTGGCAGCTGCGCTTCTGGGCGTCTCATCTGGGAAAGGCATCAGCCGGAGGATGAAAGGGGGTGTGCAAGATGTTATTACACGCAATTACTGGAAAAGAGGGCAGATTTTCCCGTGCTGGTAACACATCTCCTCTCCTCTCCCCAGGACGCGGAGGGACAGACTCCTCTGCCGCCGGAGTTGTGTTCAAACAAGAGTGTGATCTGCTGCAGGGTGAGCTGGAGCTGGAGGATCAGGGTCCAGCCCGCCTTCCAAAATAAGCACACGCTGATGGGTGTTCCAGCTGCTGGGGCAGGGCTGGGCCTGACAGTGCATGGATAGACCCTGTCCAGCTCCATCCTGCAGCCCTGGGGACGGGAGGCAGCGGCCCAGCGTCAGAGGCACGTTTGCAAGAGCACGTTTAGTCTTTGAAGAAACTGAAGACTTTAAAGGCTGTTAAATTTCGGGGCTGATCAAAACAGCAACACTGTCTTTGCCTGGAGCAGCCGGAGCCCCGCACCCTGCCTGCCTCCCCCATGCTCTTACACTGGGGCCCTGCTCTGGGCCACCCGCCTTCCTTGGGACGTGTCAGGTGGGCAAGGACTCTCCTTCCCAGAAGGAATTGTGAGAGCACCTCTTTTCCCTCCTTGTCCCCGAGACTCAGGGGATGAACCCGCCTTCCCCCTTATGCAGGCCAAGAGGAGGGGAGGGCCGTAGAGAGTTACTTGTGATCTGGGAGCAGTTCTCACTCGAGGCACAGGGCCGAGAAGGAACCCAACTTGCTCATTTTGGGTGACAACAAGGATGAAGGGGCACAGGGAGGTCTCAGTCCCCTGCTGTGGGATGGAGAGACCCTCTCCTCCCTGGGAGGGGTGGACGCCAGCTCTCCCCGCCCTCTGCAGCCAGCAGGTTGGATGTTTTATTTTACAAATCAAACACCAGGGAGGGTTGTCCCACACCCTGATAATCTCCCTAGAGGTGCCTTTTGCATGCATTGAATCCCCATTTCTCCTTCTTACACCTTTCTGTGCTGTCTTTAGCAACCCCCACCCAGCTGGGGATCACCTCCCTGTCACGTCCATCCACAGGCTGTTATCACATCCACCCCACCTTCCAGTGCATATTTACCCCAAGGATCACCTGTCCCACCCAAAACCTTCCTCAGCTCTTTTCCTCTGTCATTATCTCACTTTGGCAGTCAGAAGCAGGCAGGTTTCTCACGTCCCCAAGTGCCTGGCCAGGGATGAGGCAGAAAACTGTCAGCTTTGGGGAACCTGGATTTCTCCCAAGTGAGCAGCTTGGAAATTGGGATGGGGCTACTCTGGTGTCACTTCCTTGCCCTCCAGCCAAGGGGAAACCCTCCCTGCTTGCAGCAGCCTCCTGCTCAGCCTCCATCCCCTATCCATGGAATGGCAGTGGCAGGCCAGGCAGGATGGCTTTTCTTGATCGTTCCAGAGTTACATTTCTCCAGCTGGATTACTTGTAATCATTAAACCTCGTGTTTAAATCTCCCACCCCGGGTCTCTGTACCTCCAGGTCCCCTCCTGCTCTTTCTCAGGGTTGGCAGTACTGGTTTGGAGCCATGGGAGCTGGGCAGAGCAGGATTGCCTCGGCTGGGCTGTGCTGCCATTTCTCTCCCCGTGTGCCAAGAGCCCCTGGGCTTCACCCACTGCATGGAGCCCCTGGCTGGGCTGATCTGTGCTTCCACAGAGCTCGTGTCAGTCCACGGGACACGTTGGTGGGGGTACTGGGACAGAATCCACCCGGGATGAGCTCCTGGCCTCGTGGTGCTCCCAAGGGTGAGCTGTGGCAGGGGTCCTGCCAGCACCCGCTCCCTGGAGCCAGAGGGGCCAGGGTCACCCCCAGGGAGGTTCTGCAGCCTAAATGCCCATGAAATCTTGCTTATGGAAAAAAGTTCCACCCTGGACGGGGTCACACGTCCCCCGCCGCGGGACAGGCCAGAGGAGGCTCTGCTCCGGGGGTCTGCCGGGCTGCTCCCAGAGAGCCCCTCGTCCCACCACTCCCGGGGCAGACCCGCACCCCGGGGAGCAGCTGCTCCGCTCCCGGGGCGGGATCCCCCCGAGCGGAGCCCACCTGCGGGCGGACCGCGGTTTGCGGGGCGCGCACGGCCGGGACAGACCCCGCCGGGACGGACCCGCCCCGTCCCCGCCCGCCCGTGTCGCGGGGCGCTGACGCCGGGGGCGGCCCCGCGCCCGCCCCGCCCCGCCCGCCGGACCAACTTCCATTTTAGGTACGGGAGAGGCGCGGGCGCACGGCGGGACCCGACCGACGCCGCGCTCC